GGTCGGACGTCAGCGCCCGTTTCACCTCGGCGGCAGCGAGCCGCTTCAACTTCAAGTCGTAAACGGCTCTGTGAAAACTGCTTGCTGATGGCGTCGGGAGCAGGAAAGCTCGCTTCTGCACAGGGAGAGGGAGTGACGTTGGACTTCCCCCAGCAGCGCTCGGTGGCTGAGTGACGGTACGCACCATTGCGTCCTCTCTGGCGAGGGTTGCGGCGAGGTGAGCGTCTCGACCTGCGTGGACGGGCTGGAGCAATCGACGAAGTCAAGTTCCGGACGCGCCGCGTTTCGTTCCACGCTTCAGGACCCCTGACTTTGCGCTGTGTTTTCGGGCCCAGTTGTGCGAGATTTTTGTGCTTGCAGCGCCAATTCTTTCTTGTCGGCAAATCCGGCCAAGGTGCGGGGGGCCGCCGCCGAGTCTAATCTAATAACCTTGGCCGGGTTTGACACCAGACTGGACCGACGCGACACCAGAATCGTTCCACCCCTGACCCCTACCTTCACAAAGGTCCCCGCCCGCACAAGTGGCTTGGCCGCCTTCGGGTTGCGCGTCTCAAAGGCATGTTCCCGCAGGCGCTCGAGTGCGTCTGTCATAGACTGGTTGCACATTGGTTTAGCCCTCCGGCCACGTCATGGGGCCATTCGAAGTGCCGCGGCCGGCTAGCTCGTGACGGCCCGAGTCCGAGGATTGCAGCCGTGAGGCTCGGGCCCTGGGTGCAGTCTGAGGCCCCACGCCTGTCGCTCGGGCGCGGAGGCGAGCCACGAGCGCATTCGGTACCCAGGTCACGCATCTTTCCACGCCCTCATTCGAGCGACAATCGCGGACACAACACTGCCTCACGCCCTTACTCTATTGCGGCTAGGCTACTCAAGCGAGACCTGGTGGCAATCCCGTCTGGCCAGCTCAACACGCCGCTTCGCGCAGGTATCGCGCCAGGCCCTGCCACCGCTCGCCGCCTCGCCGGCACGCTCGCGCTCCGCTCTCCGGAGAGACACACAGCCGCGCGAACTCACGCACGCAGACCAACGCCCGCGCCCGCCGCTCACGCGACCGCAACGCCGCGCCGCGACGTGCGCACCGCACGCAGCGCCGCTTACCCGTCGGCCGTCTCGCTGGCTCACGCATTGGCCATTGTGCCGCAGGCGTTTGGCGTTCCTGGTTAGGCTCTCCTATTTCGAGGGCGGTGCCGATCGGTGTACGCGGCAGTGCCGTTGCAGGCTCGATGTGTCCAGCATTCAGCGTGCCACGTTGGCACGCTGGGAGAGTATCGCTTCCTCGCAGAGAGGTGTCAGCACCCGCGGGACACAACGTCAGTGTGCTGGCACGGCCACGGGGGCTACGGTGACGACATATAATTTGGAGAAGGTACTTGTACTTAAGTACGAACGGACAAAGAGCCGAGACTCGACTCCGCACGGCGTGCCTCTGCGTGTCTGCGTGCGTGTTTCACCCTGCGTGTATTAGTAAAAATATTCTGCGTGATTCTGGCGGGGCTAGCTGTCGGATAGAATCCGAGGTTTTGAGGCGACGCACAGCGTGTGTCTTGCGGCGTGGCACGCCATGGTCGACGCCGACACCACGCCGTATTCCATGCAGCTCGCCGCCTGCTCGCCGCCGAGCATGTGCCCGTCGCCGAGCGCCATGGCGCATGGGAGAGCCAAACGCCTGCGGCACAATATGACCAATGTGATATGCGTGAGCCGGCGTGCCACGGCCGACGGGTAAGCGTCGCTGCGTGCGGTTGCGTGCGGTGCGCACGTCGCGGCGCGGCGTTGCGGTCGCATGAGCGGCGGCGGCGGAGTGGGTGTGCGCGCCGGTCGGAGTATTTGCGCGCATTGGATCTGTGGAGAGCGCGAGCGTGCCGGCGAGGCGGCGAGCGGTGGCAGGGCCTGGCGCGATACCTGCGCGAAGCGGCGTGTTTAGCTGGCCAGACGGGATTGCCACCAGGTCTCGCTTGAGTAGCCTAGCCGCAATAGAGTAAGGGCGTGAGGCAGTGTTGTGTCCGCGATTGTCGCTCGAATGAGGGCGTGGAAAGATGCGTGACCTGGGTACCGAATGCGCTCGTGGCTCGCCTCCGCGCCCGAGCGACAGGCGTGGGGCCTCAGACTGCACCCAGGGCCCGAGCCTCACGGCTGCAATCCTCGGACTCGGGCCGTCACGAGCTAGCCGGCCGCGGCACTTCGAATGGCCCCATGACGTGGCCGGAGGGCTAAATCTATTGTGGAACCAGTCTATGGTCCTCTCTTGCACTCACCGCTGATTGAATATCACGGTGCATCTGTCGAAGACGAGGCCCCGCTGCTGCGAAAGAATTGATTCATTGAAGAATTTTTTCGTTGACAATCATGGCCAAAAGCCCCAAACTCTCCTTAAAATCCCTCTGTGGTGGCGGCCCTTTCTCCCGGGGAAGATAGAAAGAAAGTGTGTGTATCGCGCGCCTTGCGGGGGGGGCGCGGAAAAGAGGAACCTCTTAGCGCCATCGCCACGGTGCTGCATGCAGCGCCGGGCGACGACGGCTTACCGCCTCCCGGTCCCCCTCGGCACACCTCCGCTGCTCAATGTTTGACGGCTCGAACCCGTGAAGCTTCCCCGTGCGCGGGTTACCCCGCACACGGGTCAGCCTGCCAGCCACGTATCCACGCAAGCGTGGTCCGCGTGCATGGCATACAGGCGTCCGCCAGACAGCGCAGAGGCTAGGCGACCGGGGAAGGACTAGCTCAAGGGCAACACAGCGTCACCAGCCGTTGGCGCGCAGAACGAGTCTGCGGCCCCCGGTTCACGCCGCCCAGTAGGCCGCACAGGTCGCACAGCCCCCGTCGACGTGGCTTCTTACATCGTCGCGGTCCAACCGGTAGCGCATCAGTCAACACTGAGTACGCCGTGTCTGACGTCGGCCGTGATAGGGACCTGTCGTGGATAGAGCGGAAGATAGACCGCGCTATCTTTCGTTCATCAGAGGCTGTGCTCTCGCCATTCCCCTCTCCCCCCCCGTCGCCGTCGCCATCGTCACTGTCGCCCTCGCCGTCACTTGGCTCATCTCTGCCTCCGTCCCCACCTACGTCGCTGCCGTCGGAGGGGCCCAATGCGGCGGTAAAGGCGTCTAGGAGTGGGCCAGCGACTGCCTCCTGCGCTAGCCACTCATCCTCCTCCTCGGATGCGTCCCGCCATCGCACCTTGTACTCCGGCTCCCCTCGCTCGATGTTTGTGCGCTGCGCCAAGATGTACTCGATTTCCCACTCTCGGTTCGTGTCGTCTTGGATCGCGCGCCCTTCTCGTTCGGTATGAGCCAATAGATCATAGAAGCGCGTCGTGGCCGTTGCATCGTCCGGCGGGCGGGATGGGTCAAGGGTACGCATCGGTCGGTAGACCCGTGAGAGGTGTAGCGATGCGAGGTGCTTGACGGCCAGTTTCACCAGCGGCACCGCGGCGCGCACTCGCGTGGTAGGCGCGTACTGCACTGCCCACCTGGATGGGCTAGCCGCAATCTCCCATCCTTCGCTGGTCGTGGCGGCCCGCTGCATGAGGGCCGCCCTTATTACCGGTCCGCCGCACACCAACCTCTTGAGTTTCCGTGGCGCCCCCTTTTCTGCCCGGGCTCGGCGCGACTCCGGCCCCCACTCCTCGCGTGTGACGCTCGCAGAGGATTGTCCACCGTCCTCCCATACCTCCACTTCGCACCATCCGCCCGCGCCTCTTTCCCTCACCGTTGCGAGGCTCGGCGCTCCGGTCTCATCTTGCGTTGTTGCCCTGAGCTCTCCGGTTTCCATCCATTCGAAGACCGGTGCCTCACCTTGTGAAAGAAAGAAAGAAAGAAAACAGCGCGGAGCCGATGGTCGGTGGTCGGTGGTCGATGGTCGTCCTCCGGCTTCTCCTTGATCCCGCCAAAAGTGGCGAGCCATGAGCAAAGGGGATAGCAGCACCCCCACGCCGCTGCACGGCGATGGCACAGCAACGTCTACGCCCCCGCTCGACGCTCCACTGCGTGCATCGGCCCGCTGGAGGCAGCTGCGGTACGCCCGGCGGATCCGCAGCACCCGGCGCGGCGGCGATCAGCGCGTCATCACCGAGGACGGCGGTACCGTTCGACTGCCGTGAGGCTGCGTCGGATCCA